CTGAGATCGTCTGGAGGAAAATGTTCACTGTGTGTTGTTTCTGTGTGTTGCAGGGCTGCACAGAAAACTACAACCTCCATCTTTGATCTGATCCTGAAGACAAGGAGAGAGATGGGTAACCTTGAAAGCGGAGAAGAGTATCTGAGGCAGTAACAGACGCAACAACTGAATACTTTTCTGAACAAGCTCAGCGATGATCTGAGAGTCAACCTGAGAATGCAGAAGTTCACCAGTCTGTCTTCCTCAGACAACCTGAGACAGCATTATGAGTGGAGGAGACTGGAGGCGGGTGTCCACGCTGCAGAGTGGACCAAGAGCCTGGCGGACAAGTTGGGCAACTTGCCATCAGCTCCTGAACTGACGGGTCTCTTAGCGCTGGTCATCGCCATCATCATCGACATCGTTTCCTCCAGTCCGCCTGAAGAGAACACCGAGGACGCTCTGCGCAGCGTGTTTGCTGGGATCAGATCGACGAGTGCCTGAAGAGATGCATAATGAACATCAACAACAGGGCCGTCAAACGGATCGAGCTACAGCTGAAGAACTCCACGGTGAGGGACGGCACATGTCGAATCAGGCTCTGAGGGCCTGGGTGAACGGGGCGGCCTTATGATGATCCACCTGGTGAGACCGGGAGGGATTCAAACCCAAGACCCTGTAGAGAGACTCATCTCTACCTGCCTGACAGACCTGGAGCTGCTGTTTGACAAGCACAAGGAAGTGCTGGAAGAAAGGGGGGCACATCCAAAAGTATTATTTTACTTTATATCTAGTAGGTGAGGATGCAAAATACAATTACATACCCATGGGGGGTCACTATGAAACATATCTTGAGGCTTATTATGATCACAGGTACGGCCGGATTCAGCAGTACTTCAGTGACGTAAACCAGAACCTGCAGAAGCTGGTTCAACAAAGAGGCTCCTTTAATATCAACTGAGAGGCTGAAGGATCTGAGGAGGTGCAACACACGGCCACAAGGATGTGACAGGTCAACATGTAGTTCAGAACCAGGACTTTGTGTACAGCAGCATTTTCATCAGGGCTGTAGTACTCAGGTCTGGTCCTGGTCTGTAGATATATGTTGTTGTTAACAGGGGCACCACGAAGCCAGTTCAACATACCCAGGATATGTTTTAACTAACCCTAACTATCGTGATCAGGATAAGAGGTACCACGAAGCTGGTTATCAACTCGGCAAGTCAACCCAGGGTTTCATGATCCAGCCGGGAGGGCGTTCACATAAAAGAGGCGGAGTTAGCAGCAGATGACCAATCACAGACTGGACACATGCAGGCAGACAGTGAGAATGCCTAAATAAACAGGCGTAGTCTCTAATAATGTGTTGATTTGATGTGTTCATAACGCCTGTATAAAAATATCAGCCTCATTCTTTCGGCTCGGCCGTGTGTCGGCATTTCCACATTAAAAAATTCAAGCACAGAATAGTCTAAGTGGTCAAAAGTGAGATTAATTTATTTAACGAACTCAAAATGTTCCAAACATTGTTCTGAATTAACTAAAGCAATGAAAGGAAAAATCCAGTCAGTCATAAAATGAAATACTGGCTCAAAATTAGGCAGCTGAAAAGTCGTAACATTCAGCCTTATATAAGAAAAATAAAACCTATTTATTTTAACGGCTGCGTCAGTCTGTGTGAAACAAACTGGGAACAAATAAAAAAATATTCAACACATTTCAAAGCAGTAAGTGGGCTGATCCTGCTGTAAAAACCTGTAGGCAACAATAGCCTGAGGCTTTTAATCAGTCTCTGTAGGATTATATCGCTATAGTCAAGAGTTTCTCCACATCACCGCTGCAAACATAAAGCAGCCTGTTGGATAAAACAGTCTGTGGGATTTTCCTACAGATGCTGAGGTCATTTTCCAAGAGAGCTGACTGGTCAGTAGGCGTTTCTCACAGAGTTGATCTCTTATCTGGAACAGAACCTGCTCCGGAGCATAAGTTACCATGGAGATCTACCCCGGTAAGAAGTGAACCACCGACCCAGGTTTAACCCCGAAGTTACCTGGACAAGCTCAGATCCTGCTTCGTGGTACAGGCCTCTGGTTTTTTGGGTGTCTGGCCTTCGACTAGACTGGAATTTGTATCATGGGCCTTTCGCCTCGGATTTGTTTCTTGGGTGTTTTTCTTCAGACCTCAGTGGTCTTTTCACTAAAACTCGTGTTGAGCTTGTTCATATTAACAGAAAATTGTTTTTCCTTTCTCTTCTAATCTTTATGTAAGCACTTATAATAGCACTATTTTCTGTTATTATTATGTCTCATATATTGTTGTATTATTATAATACTCATTATTCTGTCCACATGTGCAGGCTTTAGGTCAGAGATGTGAAGTTGGTTTAGTGTCTTTCTAACGAGCTGGTCCTCTCCCACCTTCGACTGCGACCAGTGAAGGCTGAGAGGATCTCTGTTCCTCTAAACATGGAAACCTCGACTGTGTAAATGCTCATGCAGCCCTTTGCTCGGGGCCAGATGTTGGTGACTGTACCTCTGAACCTCTGGTCCAGCTGATTTGTGTTGCAGTACTTCTCTGTTGATTCTCTTTTATTAATAAATTCTTCAAAGACAACGGTTTGTTGTAACTCAGTTATTTCCCACGGGCGCCATGCACTCAGTTTCCTTTTGTCTGCTTTTTGTTCTTCAGTTTAACTCTTCTGTTATTTATCCTAAAATCCAGTTTTCTCATTCTTGTCTTTAATCTGCGCCGGTGCTCAGTGGGTGTAAATAGGAGACATATCAAAAGTCTCTTGCTGCATAAAGCCACGAATACTTTTCGTTTGACTAAAACAGAAAATGTCTCAGTTCCTTCCTGAAACACTCTCATGCCCGACGCTCCGCTTTATGCTGCATCAATGTTGGGGAGTAACGGATTACATGTAATCAGGATACAGGAATAAAGGAACTGTATTCTGTGACAGTACAGAAAAGCGTGTAGCCTGTAGCTGAATGTGGTTACGGCCCACGCCGTCACGCAGACTGTGCGGACTGGTTCCAGCTCCCAGTGCACAGAACACAGACTCTGAGGCCGGCGGACTCGAGTTTGACCCCTGGGGAAACAGTACAGCGGCGCTTTTCTTGCCTGTTTGGCTCTTGGCAGCTAATGAAGCTGTTCCTGTTCACTGGGAGGCTGCTGAGCGCAGTTTGGCTGCTGCTTGGTCACTAAATGAAAGCAGGCCCACAGAGCAGGACGATTCATCAACATTTTAAAATCATTGTCAAAGAAATGGCGCACTCTAAAATGTCACGCACAGGCCCAGTGCAACGCATCCTATCGCTGCTTTTATTATTGTCAGCTGTAGATCTGTTCCAAAAGTAATCGGGTTACTTTACTTTTATTTTGTGGTACTTGGATTACGTTACTGATTACATAGTAGTTAGTAATTGTGCCGGATTACAGTTACGCCTCCGCAGCTGGAGGTGTTGAGTTGGGCAGAGCAAGAACAGCCCGAGACAAACTGGTGTTTCTGCATCATGCGCACAGCTGAGCCCTCAGCACTGTGGATTAAAAGAGTGACATAAACATTCTTACTCATTAACTGAGTCCCGTCTTATTTCCTAATGTTTTCAGGTTTTTCATGTTTTCCTGAGAAACTTTTGAGCGGAGAAGACGACCTGCAGAGCTTGTTTACTTCCTGCAACACTGCTGACATTTGTTGACATCAGTTCACATGCAGAACGGGTTTCACCACACGAGGGAATCTGTCATCTCGATTTCAGGCAGATATACTTTCTGTTCACGGTGCTGCCTCTTCTCAAGTCAGGGTAGATGGATTTACCAGAGTTCACAAGTAGGAACTCCGACTCTGAGGACCGTTCACTTGATGTTCAGGTTTTGGCTCACGGGGATTTATTTTAAATACTTAAACCTCATTATTTGAAGCTTTGGTCCTGTTTAATCCAACATCGTAACATTGTAGAAATGCCAGAAAATATGAAAAAGCCTAACAGGGGGCCAGCTGTTTAGGTTAAATGTAAAGAGAGAACAACACAGTTAAAATGTTTGCAGGAAACTATATTTATTGTCTTTGATGTGACAAAATAAAAACATGTTAAATACAGTTCATGCAATAAAAAGCTGAACAAATATTTAATTGAAATTAAACTGTGTTGGCTGTGTGTTTCTGTATATTGGTGTCTTTTGTGTCTAAAGTTATTTAAAAAACTGTTTAGGTTTTACATGGATGTGAACGTTTCGACCTGTCAACCTGTTTTGCAGCCTCAGTTTCTTTGGCCCCGTCCCAATATATATAATATAATATATAATATCTACACTCCGCCCTAAGGTCTTGCTCGAAGGGGACACTTAGCGGAGTAAGTGCACAAGGGCCCGAAGCTGTGAGGAGCAGAATTGGGACAGTTTTGCACACGTCACTACTGTGTAACGTCTCAGGAAGCCTGTGTGCACGTGGCCCATTTCTAAACCTAATGTGACTGTTTTCACAAAAAGTTTCTTTACAAATTCAAGCTATTTTTACTTTTCATGAACATTTAACTTTGTTGATAAGGTAACTTATAGTACTGATTTACATTTCTCTGGTGTACTCCATGCAGGCTGTGCCCCCCCCCCCCGCTGTAGAAACCTTCAGCTAGTCTTGTAATTTTCTTACTTCACCCTATATCTAAAACATTTTCCCTACTTTATCACATTTTGTTTTTTACGCAGCCTTCTGTGTTTTTGTCTCTTTGTCACCATAAAACACTTTAAACTGCTGCTGAATAAAATAAATCGATTTAATATTGTCTAAATAATCTTGATTTCTAAGACCTTCCCTTCCTTTCACTCTTTGCTGAACTACAACATGTAGCCGAACCTCGGAGCCTACACTTCCCACAATGCCCCTCTGCCGCACAGCAGCGGGCTGCTCCACGTGCTCGGGGATTTAAACAGGTGTGTACTCGCGCGGAGGAGGGAGGAGGGGCGGGAAAGTGTGTCACTGGGGCACGAGGCTCTCCCCGCGGTCACATGGTCCCGTTTTCTGCCGCGTGCAGGACGGCGGCCCCCGCACAGCCTGCCTGTTGCGCGCGCGCTTTGTTTGGAAGAAGAAAAAAAAACTACAGAGAAGGAAGCGCGTGCAGCAAATGACAAGCTCCTCGTGCAGCAGACAGTCGCCCTGTTACAGAGGAACAGAAGAAGAAGAAGGATGAAGTAATAAAATCAGAGAAGCACTTTTCTTCTTCTGGAGTTTGTGCGGTGCGTGATGCGGCGGCCGGAGCGGAAAATATCACGGATTTTTTAAAACACGCTCTCGTGCGTGACTCTGTTGGAGCTCAGGATGACGACCACTGCCATGGACACAAACAATAACAACAACAACAACAACAACAACACCACAGGTAAACAACTCTCCTCCTCACTCATTATAACAAAGCAAGGTGACGCCAGGTGCGGAGCGCGCGCGGCGGGTCGGTGTTTAACGTGAGTTTCTAAAGTGCCGAATCGTCCGTCCGCTGCTGTAGACTGTTGCTGAGCCCAGCGGGAATCTGTCAGCTTCGGATTTTATATTTTTGTGCTTTGTGTTTGTTAAATGTCAGATTATTACGCTGGAGTGTCGGTTAGCAGCGGGAGCGGCAGGCCGCGCGTCACAGCGCGTTTGCCGCTTGGTGTGTTTTGGTGTCAGATTGTGTTTGAGGACTGTTGAAGTTTGGACTCTGGTGAACGTGTGAAGCTGTGGAACATGAAACTAAATCAATACGTGAATCAGTTCATACGCGCTGACAAAACAACAGGATGGAGACGAGGTTTGCCGCGCGGCGCACCGCAGCCACGGAAAGAGCAGGCAGCCTAAACTCTGAAACAATCATCAGTAAATAAAGATCTGCATGTCGCACGTGTCGGTGTGTCTGAGCCGGATCAGCACGGGGACCGGCTCCTGAGACCGGTTGTTTTTAGAGGAAGTGGGTCAGGATGACGGTGTCAGGTGGTTGTTCCGTGCCCGGTTCACATGGACCGGCAAACCGGCCATGTGCGCTTTGTTTTCACGGAGCTCGGCGCGCTGTGATTGGCTGCTGCTCAGGCTGAGCTCATTACGCAACTGATCGTGTGTCTCTGGAAGAAGCAGCAGCAGAGATCAAACAGCTGATAACCGGAGGACTTATTACTGATGCGGGACCACGTGACGGTACGCACCTCAGACCAGATCCTGGTCCTGAATCTGAGCCTGCAGCTCATTTAGAAACACATTTTCCTGTAAGAGGCAACGGATTAAAATCAAATGTGGAAATATTTACAGGTGGATTTAATAGTTTCCATCATCAGATCCCCGCTGCAGGATGTTATTAAACTCAGTCTCTTCCTCCTCCCTGTCTGTTCGGGCCATGTGCAGCCCCCCCCCCCCCCCCCCCCGTGTGTGAGAAAGTGGAACAGCAGCAGAAACCAATCACCTTCTCTGATTTCCCTCTGGTTGCCACGGTAACCGGGCAGCCAGGATCGCAGCTGGTGGAGGTTCAGTCTGAAGTTTGGATGAAACAGAATCACAGACGCGTTCCTGCGTTTTAAATCTTAATTAAGTCAACTACAGAGCTTAGGACTCAGTCTGGACCAGGTCTGCTCCGGTCCGGTCTGGGTCTGGTCCGGTCTGGGTCTGATCCAGTCTGGGTCTGGGTCTGTTCCGGTCTGGGTCTGTTCCATGTCTGGGTCTGATCCAGTCTGGGTCTGCTTCATGTCTGGGTCTGGGCCGGGTCTGATCCGGTCTGGGTCTGTTCCGGTCTGGGTCTGTTCCGGTCTGGGTCTGTTCCGGTCTGGGTCTGGGCCGGGTCTGATCCGGTCTGGGTCTGTTCCGGTCTGGGTCTGCTTCATGTCTGGGTCTGGGCCGGGTCTGTTCCGGTCTGGGTCTGATCCGGTCTGGACCGGGTCTGCTCTGGTCTGGGTCTGCTGGTCTCGTCTGACGCTCGTCACCAGCCTCGGCGCTTCTTCCCTAACTTTTCTGGGCTCAGGCGTCGCTGCACGTAAACGAGCTGCTGGTTTTGGCGGCCATGTTTGTTTTGGCACAGTGACACGTGACAGACGGGCGTTCTCGTGGGATCTGCGGGGTCGTCTACCTGCAGATCTCCACGGTTACTGAGCAGAGGTCCAGTGTCCGGTTCACTCAGCGTTTGTTGATCGAGTCTTATGGTCGGTGTCTCTCGTGGCGCTCGGCTCGTCCGCAGCTTCGTCCGGACGTGAAGTCGGAGCAGGATGTTTATTTCAGGAGCCCCCCAAACCACGAGACTTTGGAGGGACGGGTCCACCTCACCGGTCCAGACCTTCAGGTTCCCCTCAGGACGACTCATAGAACAAGACATAATGAATAAAAGATCAAAGCGTCACCTGTGGGGCGACTTCAGACCAGGTTTCAGAGTCTCTGAGCGAGCGAGGCGGGGAACCCTTACTGGATGGTTAGAGTCCCCTCTGCTCTCTGTGAGGACCCGCAGGGGTCCAAACAGCCTCAGGGAGGCTCCGTGCAGGTCAGCATTAGATCAGCCTGACTGGCGCTCTCTACAGGGCCGTGCAGGATCAGGTCCTCTTGGCTGTTTGTGACGTAATCCTGATCCCACAGGCATCCGGGACTCTTTGTTCCTGACGGAACCCGTGTGGCTTTGAGGCCCCTGAGTCAGTGTTGAGGATCAGTGAGGGGCCCTCAGTAGTGTAGCAGCCTGTGCAGAGATGAATGGAGGGAACGTGAGAGCAGGCGGAGGTGTGGAGGAGGCGGGGCGTCCTGGACCCAGTCCCGTTGCAGAGTCTGATGTGTGGAGGAGGCACGTGGCTCCGGGGCGTGACCGCCGACAACACGAGGCCCCCTCCCCCAGAGCCTGCACGAGGGAGGAGGGAGGAAGGACATATTACTGACATACTTCCTGCAGTATTCCTGTAATACAGGACGGAGTACTCCAAGTACTCCGTGTAGGATCTGTTCACCCCCCTCAGCAGGCGGACTCCGAGTCTCCCAGCTGCCCCCCCTCTGAGAAACATCTGACGGTGTAAATCTAAATGCTGCAGTTCTATTGTTATATTTATGATTTTTCTTCTTTACTGTGTCTCTTTGGGCCGTCACGCACCACATCGCCACGGCAACTAATCTGTTTCTGCAAAGCCGCTAAATATAAAAACCTGAAAGATCTTTACGTGGCGACCAGATAATCTGAGTCACCGACGTGTTGATGCAGCAGCAGGCTTCTGTGCGTCTCATGCATCACGTGCAACAGAGACACGTGGGAAATGTTGAATTCATTTGAATCATGAATGAATGAAATCAAAATTAACCATCTGGTTTCTTCAACCAAAAAAGAAATAATGATTTGATGTTTATCCTGATAATTTGAAATTTTGATAGTGATAACATTTTGGGCAACATCCCCTACTCTCAATAATAATATTTATAATAATACAAATAATAATATAATAATACAAATAATAATAAATACAAATAATATTATTATAATAATACAAATAATAATAATACAAATAATAATAAATAATACAAATAATATTATTATAATAATACAAATAATAATAATATAATAACAATAATATAATAATAAAAATATAATAATACAAATAATAATAATAATAAATAATAATAATAATACAAATAATAATAAATAATAATATAATAACAATAATAAAAAATAATAAATAATACAAATAATAATATAAATAATAATAATACAAATAATAATACAAATAATAGTAATAATAATAATACAAATAACAACAAATAACAAATAATATAATAATAATACAAATAATAATAATAATAATAATTAGCTTTTTGCTGACGCTTTGATCCAAAGCGCTGAATGATTAATCATTTTTAAATTGAAATTGCAATTTGAAAGATTTGAGCCAAAGCTAACGTTAGCATGCTAATACCTGAGCCGTTCAGAGTAAAAGATGTCACGAGGAGCGCGGTCGACTCTCTGACCTGAAACTGTTTAATAACGTCTGAAGAGTTTAAATCATGTAGCATCAGTTAGCTTAGCATAAACCTCTCTTTATAAACTAACTGTGAAACACAGATTTACAACAATTGAAGCTAAGCTAGCTCGTGATGCTACAGTGACTTCCTGTTTCCTGATTGGACAGCGCTACAGACGTTTCACAAGTCTCTACTCGCTGACACGTTTCTTAGGCGCGGCCCGATTGAGCGAGTCAGGAGTTAGTCAGTCTGCTGCTGATCAACGCTTCCTCGTCTTCGTTAATAACCTCCTCCAACAGGCGGCAGGCAGCTTCTGTTGTGAGGTGAACGAAGTTTGTCAGTTTTCGGTTTGTGGAAGCGAGCGGCAGCCAAAGTAAAATAAATGTTTGAGCTGAGGAGGAAAGCTTGAGTCTCTCTGTCATGTTTTCATAAAGAGGTTTGTGCTGCAGTGACTCATCGATTCTACATAAAGTTTCACTCTCTTCATGCTGTGTGTTTTTATCTTTGTTGAACGGGTCACATTACAGATCGTAACGTGTGGTTTCAGGTTGTATAGAAAAAAAGAATCCTCTCCTGTAGAAACCTCCGTCTGCAAACTCACTCGTGTTTAAATATAAATATTTATGAATCTCTTTCAGTAAGTGAATCTACAGAAACTGAACTTTGTTTCTTTCAAAGTGTTTTTCGCCTGAACACAGGGGGGGCGGGTCTACTCACTCTCTCACAGGCTGTTCCCTCCTCCCCCCTCCTCTGTTCCCAAAATTCCTAGAAAGTCTGTTGTGAACTTCTACTACTGACCCCCCCCATCTGTTACCGAGGTTACAGGAAAGCAGCCAGGCTTCCTCTGCACAAACACCCCCCCCCCTACTCCCCCACCACCAGCTGACCACACTCACACAGATGGCTCCGCCCCCTCATGCCTGGCAGTCTGAGGTCATTAAACTGATCTCAGACCAGCTGAGTTTCTTCTTCCTCTAACTAACTACACGCTATAAACAAAAACAATACAGACCGATTGAGACAGTCGTGCAAAGGATGCTGGAATAAATAAATATTGTGACATGAGGCAGGTGGATCAGAAACAGTTTCTACAATATGACAACATGACAGTAAGAACAGCGTGTCAAGGCGTCAAAACGTTAGTGGGGGGTGTCACGGCGGCTACGTCCACTTCTTTAATACCGTCTGTGGTCCAGACTGGAACATCTCAGAAATGTGGTTTCTTCCTGGTAGATGGCTGCTGACCTCCAACATGGCCGCCACACGGGGTCACTACTAGGTCATCGCTAACCTCTCTCTCTCTCTCTCGCTCTCTGCAGGAGGTGTGATCTCCTACGTGGGTTCTTGTGGAGGCTCTCCGACCCGGACCAGTCCAGTCTCCATGTACAGCGAGAACTCCGACTCCCAGCCCGCCTTCTCCTCCTCTTTAACGCCCTCCTTCCTCAGCAGCAGCAGCAGCTCCAGCTCAGGCTCTGCAGGAGAAGATGGCTCCTCCTCAGCAGGAGGTTCGCCTCGAGGCCGAGACGACGGAGGCTCCCTGAGGGCGTCGCCCAGCAAGTCTGTGGCCAGCCTCACCAGTAAGAACCTGACAGCTGATCTTTATCTCTGGTCGTAATCGCCGATCGTTACAGAAGACATTTCTTATGAAACAAAGTTCAAAATAATGCTAATAAAATTTTCCTTTAGTGTCTAAAATCAAAGTGTCCCATTTATACGTTTGATGCCGTGACAACTTGTTTTTTGTGTCCGTGTCTGCTGAATATATAAATGTGAAGGAATGAGTTCAGTGTCTGTCTGTGTGTTTCAGAGCTGAACAGCATGGTGTTGCTGTGTAAGGTTTGTGGTGACGTGGCCTCAGGTTTCCATTACGGAGTTCACGCCTGTGAGGGCTGCAAGGTGAGAGCACATCACTCACTGTTTTTATTCACACATTTGGTCTGAACTTAGTTACAACGGGTCGTTCGGACGTTTGATTTAATGTTTTAAATCATTCAGAACACAGTATCTGTACTCGAGCCGCGACGTACTGCACGACGGCTAACTAACTGAATCAAGTAAAGGCTAGCTTGTGAGATAGCCGCGGCTAGCCTTAGCTAAAGCTAAAGATACGTAGTGAGTAAAAAATGTCCATTTTGGTTATTTGGCCACATAATTGAAGAAGGTACGATGGAGAAGAAAACAACCGAACTCATGCTAAATGTTGCTAGCTTAGCATAAAGGGAGCCAGGCTGCCATCTCCAGTGAATATCCTGTGATACAGTGTTAAAGCTGCTAATCTCTTATTTACATGGTCATTTGTAAATTGAAAATAAATATCAAACTAAAGTTAATTTTCTTAAACAAATTAGTTAAGCAGGATCAGAGAGCTGAGAGAACGACACAGCGTCAGACGCCAGATACCCGCCGAGTCCCGCTGTTTATATATATTCATGTATTTTCAGGGTTTCTTCCGCCGCAGCATCCAGCAGAACATCCAGTACAAGAAGTGTGTGAAGAACGAGAGCTGCACCATCATGAGGATCAACAGGAACCGCTGCCAGCAGTGCCGCTTCAGGAAGTGCCTGTCTGTGGGCATGAGCCGCGACGGTGAGCTGTCTGTCTGTCTGTCTGTCTGTCTGTCTGTCTGCACACCTGTATCCTGTCTGTCTGCACACCTGTATCCTGTCTGTCTGCACACCTGTATCCTGTCTGTCTGTCTGTCTGTCTGCACACCTGTATCCTGTCTGTCTGCACACCTGTATCCTGTCTGTCTGTCTGTCTGCGCACCTGTGTCCTGTCTGTCTGTCTGTCTGTCTGCACACCTGTATCCTGTCTGTCTGCGCACCTGTATCCTGTCTGTCTGCGCACCTGTATCCTGTCTGTCTGCGCACCTGTATCCTGTCTGCGCACCTGTATCCTGTCTGCACACCTGTATCCTGTCTGCGCACCTGTATCCTGTCTGCGCACCTGTATCCTGTCTGCGCACCTGTATCCTGTCTGCGCACCTGTATCCTGTCTGTCTGTCTGTCTGCACACCTGTATCCCAGGAACAGTGTTACAAACAGTTCTGATCTGTAACAGTTCTTCTTCTTCTTCTTCTTCTTCTTCTTCCTCCCACAGCGGTTCGTTTCGGTCGGATCCCGAAGCGTGAGAAGCAGAGGATGTTGGCGGAGATGCAGAGCGCCATGAACAACATGGTCAACAACCAGCTGCAGAACGACTTCCAGCTCGCCAGCCTCTCCTCCTCCTCCTCCTCCTCTTCCTCCTCCTCTCCATGCCCGGGGGCCACCATCGCCCTCGCCCCCCAGCCTCCGGCCCTGCCCCTCACCCCATCCTCCCCCTCTCCTCCTGCCCCAGCCTCCTCCTCCACGCCCCCTCCTCTTCCTCCTCCTCCCTGTCTTAGCCCCTCCCCCTCCTCCTCCTCCTCTTCCTCCTCCCCCCCCCCAGCCCCGGGTTGGACTCCACCATCAGTGCCATCGCCCGCGCTCACCGTGAGACCTTCCTGTACGCTCACGACAAGCTGGCCAATCCCCACGCGCCACCTCAGCAGCAGAATAACCACGCCCACCTCAACGGGGAGGCGGAGCCCTGGGGGCCCAACCGCTGCCCCAACGGATACCACGCCAACAGCCTCAACACCATCTTTCACCATAACAACAACCTGGGGTCGGGACGCCACCTGCCGCTGGACAGCAGCCAAAACGCCACGCAGAATCACCACGTCAACGGGAGGCGGAGCCTGCATAACAGTAACTTGATTGGAGGAGACGGGCTCGCCGATCATGTGACCCAGGTGCAGAAGTGTCCGATGAAGAACCACACAAGGATTCTGCTGGTAAGAACCGACAACAGACTGTGATTGGACGGTCGATGTTCGGGGGGGGAGGGGTTTAGCGAACGGTGAGCTGACTGACAGTTTGATCGACCTCTCCTCTCTCCAGGCCTGTCCAATGAACATGCAGCCTCAGGCCGACCCCTCCAGGACCCCCCAGCAGATCTGGGAGGACTTCTCACTGTCCTTCACCCCCGCCGTCAAGGAGGTCGTAGAGTTCGCCAAACATATCCCAGGATTCAGTTCTCTGTCCCAGAACGACCAGGTCACGCTGCTGAAGGCCGGCACCTTTGAGGTATGACGATGCAGCGTCACGCTGACGCTCGCCATCTTCTGTCAGCTAGTAACACCTGTCTTTATCCAACATGGCGGCGCTCTGGCGAGACAAAGTAATATTCGCCGTTGGTGTTTTTATTCATCTGAACCTGAGGTTGATTGTCTTCTTCTTCTTCTTCTCTCAGGTGCTGATGGTGCGCTTTGCGTCCCTGTTCAACGTGAAGGAACAGACGGTGACCTTCATCTCCGGTGCCACCTACAGCCTGGAGGAGCTGAGGGCGATGGGGATGAGTGAGCTGTTGGGAGCCATGTTTGACTTCAGCCACAAACTGGCGGCGCTGGAGCTGAGCACCCAGGAGCTGGGCCTGTTCACCGCCGTGGTGCTGGTGTCAGCAGGTGAGGAGGGTCGTTAAGCCCCGCCCCCTTTAGTTAACGTTCATACCATCATATATTTACAGAGGTAACTGACTGAGTCTTTCTCCTGATCCTCAGACCGGTCCGGTATCGAGAATGTGGCGTCGGTGGAGCAGCTCCAGGAGAACCTGATCAGAGCGCTGCGGACACTGATCAGCAAGATGGCCGTTGCCCCCGGCAACAACCATCACAACGTGGAGTCGCCACGCTTCACCAAATTGCTGCTGAAGCTGCCCGACCTGCGGACGCTCAACAACATGCACTCCGAGAAGCTGCTGTCCTTCCGCATCGACGCCTGATGACCTCACCGGTGATGTCACTGGTGACGTCTCCGCTCAGACTCAGACCTGCGCTTCACTTCCTGTGGTCGCCGGTGCTAATAATGATATACGATGGCATATCACGTGGTGCTCTCCATCTTCGCCATGACGTCATCATCGTCCTAAAGTGTTTGATAATGATGTCATCGCGAGCCACTCGGCCAACATGTGACACAGTGATGATGTCATCAGCAGAACTCACCACCAAAATAAGAGTCTGCAGCCGACCGAGTTAAAGATCAGTCCGACTTTTTAAGAATGCTCATTAAGAGAATCCAGCACAAAGTGGTTAGCCTAGCTTAGCACAAAGACTGGAATCAGGGGTGCTAAGCTAGGCTAACAGTTTCCCCCTGCTTCCAGTCTTTGTGCTAAGCTAGGCTAACAGTTTCCCCCTGCTTCCAGGCTTTGTGCTAAGCTAGGCTAAACACGTCCGAGAACAAGAGGACTTTTAAAATGTCGGACTCTTCCGGTACAAACGTTTCCAGGAGAAAGGGCACATCCAGAACTTCCAAGCGCCATGCTGACCTCCTGGATCCACCAACACCAGCCAATCACGTGAAGGAAGAGCAGAGACGGACAGCTCCACTGACCAATGAGACGCAGGAGAAGGGGCGATGTGTTTAAGTACAATCAGAAAATGCTGCGCGAAGCCTCAGTCGTCTCTAACGAACTCGATGCAGCAGATATGCTGTGTGAAACTGTAAATAAATAAATATCCAGTTAAGCTTGAACTGTTTGAAGAACTGTGTTTGACCTGAAGATATATTATACACCTATATTTTTTGTTAATATGAATAAATGCCTGTGCAAATATTATGACCGTAGGTAAAAGGTTGAGTATGAAAAGCATATAATGGACACGATAATGTTTGTATTTTAATCTGTTTAATGTTGTAAAGATGTTATAAATATATATATAAATATAAACACACACATCAGAGTCCGAACGGCTCGTTTATCTTTCATTTCGTTCGTTCAAGTTATTCGTGATTTCCTCCTTGACATTGTTGGCCTCCAAACAACGCACAGGAAAAATAAGTTGTTTAAATTCATTTATAAAACTAAATCCAATAATAATGATCAAGACAGGAAACAGAAGAGAATAAAAGTAAAAAGTATATTTAATGTGTATTTCTTTAATTAAAAATAACCTTTTATATATTTTTATAAAAAAAAAATCTCTTTTTAAATGACCAATTCTTCATTACTTGTCTATTAAACCAATCTGCCTTCAGAAGTTTATCTTCGTACAACTAAATGAACTAAATGAAGTTATATTCTGTTTAACATTAACCTGGCTGAATTAAATATAATCAGCCTGCTGCACCAACTCTTCCGCAGTCCTGTTTCTCCAGGAGGTCTCTGCAGAGACGTGGAGGCTGAGCGAATCACAGGAGAAGTAGGTCAAACATAACTTTACACTCTGCTCTCTGATTAGTCAGCTGCCTCCGAACCTCAGCGTCCAATGAGGAGCCAGCAGGCGGAGACACGAGTGTCCCAGTTTCAGAGTACACATTGATTCATACGTCACTTCCTGTTAGTCCTGAAGTCTTATAAAGTAACAGTAGATTTATAATAATGCAGACTGTGAACGTGTCGTACAGATATTCATCTCTCTGGAGTCTCACTGACGAGTTTTAACACGAGAACTTATTGAACTTGAATTAATGAATGTGATTTCATTAGAGATCTTCCCACAGTTTACTTTTCGTCCCTCTGACGGCTGGTTTACAGCTCAGTTAATCATAAAGACGTCGTGTTGGAAAGCAGCAGGATTTGTTTCAGAAGCATCTTTAGTTTAAATTCTCTTTACATCCCGACGGCTCACCCGTCACGTGCCGACCTGATGGTGGCGCTACATGCTCCCACAGTGCATCCTGAGGGGAACAGGAAAGAAGGAAGCAGTTCCTCCTGTAAATCACAGCTGTTATAGCCGTTTATTAAGGTGCGCTTTTAGAAGTGATGCAGACGGTAAACGTCATGGTTCTTAGACTGATCAGGAATCAGGTCTGGACTATATACTCTTTAGATACTTAACAGTACTGGGCATCAGTACTATTTATATTATATACTTCTACAGCATGTGTTTATGTAAGAGGATACATGTAGAGAAGTAAAGTCCAGCATTTCCCTCTGAAATACTCAAGAAGTGTGTTAAAACTGTACTGAGCTACTTTGTACACCCTGTACAAATACCGTCTTCCACACATGTGCATGTGTGTGTGTGTTATGTCACAGTGCAGCACTGCATGCTGGGAGGCAGACAGGAAACAGTGACCTCTGGTGGCCATGGGGCAGCGTTACAAAATAAAAGCCCCAGCCCCTCTGTGAATGAGCCTTTTATTGGTTTTATTAAAAAGTGTTTCCACAGCGCTGATGAGTTCTACAGATGTGAGAATGTTTAAGAAGCTCAGGAACACTCTGATCCGTTTGGTGTTAGAAGTTTATTTACAGTTTGAAGACCATTTTGTCATGTAGGAAGAGAGGTGAGACAGTGACACCTGGTGGACACGAGAGGAGACACACGGAGGAAGGAGAGGAGGATGAGGAGGAGACACATGGAGGAAGGAGAGGAGGAGACACATGGAGGAAAGAGAGGAGGACGAGGAGGAGACACATGGAGGAAAGAGAGGAGGAGACACATTGAGGAAAGGGAGGAAAGAGAGGAGGAGACACATTGAGGAAAGAGAGGAGGACGAGGAGGAGACACATGGAGGAAAGAGAGGAGGAGACACATGGAGGAAAGAGAGGACGAGGAGGAGACACATGGAGGAAGGAGAGGAGGAGACACATGGAGGAAAGAGAGGACGAGACACATTGAGGAAAGAGAGGAGGACGAGGAGGAGACACATGGAGGGAGGACGAGGAGGAGACACATGGAGGAAAGAGAGAAGGAGACACATGGAGGAAAGAGAGGAGGAGACACATGGAGGAAAGAGAGGAGGAGACACATGGAGGAAAGAGAGAAGGAGACACATGGAGGAAAGAGAGGAGGACGAGGAGACATATGGAGGACGAGGAGGAGACACATTGAGGAAAGAGAGGAGGACGAGGAGAAGACACGACGAGGAGGAGACACATGGAGGAAGGAGGAGGAGACATATGGAGGACGAGGAGGAGACACACGGCGGAGCAGAGGAGCGGGTCAGATGAGCGGACTGCTGCTGAGAAACACCAGCCATCCTGTCAGGCTGAGGTCGTCTGTCTGAGGCTGAGAGGGAGAGAGAGGAGGTCACGCTTCTGATCATCTTGTGTTTTATGAAGAACTGCTGTGATGAGATGTTAAAGAGACGGTACTGGATATGTGAAGTGTGGCTGTATGAGGTACTTGTACACAGTCTGTGTATTAGAGAGTTGTACCAGCACTGAAGCTGGAGAGGGTCAGCAGCTAACGAGTTTATTGGTTCATGTGCAGCTCTGTGTTTAATATTCTCAGCTCACACAGAGCAGACCAGGTGTGTTTATGTGATGAAATACTGAAGTTCTACTGCTGATGAATTTGTTGTTCCAAAGGAAATGTTCGCCTGATGGTAGATAGATATTAAGACATTGTCTATGAAGGTTCTCTGTCATCCAGGTCATAGTTATCCAACGAAGGTTAAAGTCAAGGGCAGCTGGACTCGGTTGAAGATACTGGAAGACGTTTCGTCCCTCATCCAAAGGACTTCTTCAGTTCTGACTGGCTGGCAGGGAAACTCAGACATTAAGACGTTGATTTTTCTGGTGGGTCTTCCTTCAGGTTGCTGAAACTTGTTAGCTGCTGAGCCTCTTCAGCCTCAGTGCCGGTCCAACTCTGTTACTGCAGGTAGTACACAGACTGTGTACAAGTACCTCATACAGCCGCACTTTAACAGGTGAAGGGGACAACAATGTGCCTGCTGCCTTTAGTTCCTGTGCAGTCAGAACACATTATGCTGTCATGTGACCTGTGTAGCTGCTCAGCTCCTGGTTCTGTTACCTTCAGTCCAGATGTGTCCAGAGGTTGTCCGTCCCTTCGTACCGACAGCAGCCGGGCTCGTCCGCTGCCCGGGTACCCGTCCTCCACCTCCAGGTGACACACCAGCACAGCAGACTTCAGGTAGACCAGCAGGCGCTGGGCGGGACGCCAGTCTATGGCAAAACTGAAAACAAGATGGAGGTTAGCCTAGCTTAGCACAAAGACTGGTAGCAAACGTAAACTGTTAGCCTGGCTTGGCACACAGACTGGAAGCTGGGGGAAACTGTTAGCTTAGCTTAGCACAAAGATTGGAAGCTGAGGGAAACTGCTAGCCTAGCTTAGCACAAAGACTGGTAGCAAAGGTCAGCTGTTAGCCTGGCTTGGCACAAAGACTGGAAGCTGGGGGAAACTGTTAGCTTAGCTTAGCACAAAGATTGGAAGCTGAGGGAAACTGCTAGCCTAGCTTAGCACAAAGACTGGTAGCAAAGGTCAGCTGTTAGCCTGGCTTGGCACAAAGACTGGAAGCTGGGGGAAACTGCTAGCCTAGCTCAGCACAAAGACTGGAAGCTGGGGGAAACTGCTAGCCTAGCTCAGCACATAGACTGGAAGCTGGGGGAAACTGCTAGCCTAGCTCAGCACATAGACTGGAAGCTGGGGGAAACTTCTAGCCTAGCTTAGCACAAAGACTGGAAACTGCTAGCCTAGCTTAGCACAAAGACTGGAAGCTGGGGGAAACTGCTAGCCTAGCTAAGCAAAAAGACAGGTAGCAGAGACTGGAAGCTGGGGGAAACTGCTAGCCTAGCTTAGCACAAAGACTGGAAACTGCTAGCCTAGCTTAGCACATAGACTGGACACAGAGGGGAACTGTTAGCCTAGCTTTGCACAAAGACTGGAAGCAGGGGGAAACTGCTAGCCTAGCTAAGCAAAAACACTGGAAACTGCTAGCCTAGCTTAGCACAAAGACTGGACACAGAGGGAAACTGTTAGCCTAGCTTAGCACAAAGACTGGAAGCTGGGGAAACTGTTAGCATAGCTAAGCACAAAGACTGGAAGCAGAGGTAAACTGTTAGCCTAGCTTAGCACAAAGACTGGAAGCTGGGGGAAATGCTAGCCTAGCTTAGCACAAAGACTGGAAACTGCTAGCCTAGCTTAGCACATAGACTGGACACAGAGGGAAACTGTTAGCCTAGCTTAGCACAAAGACTGGAAGCTGGGGGAAACTGCTAGCCTAGCTAAGCAAAAAGACAGGCAGCAGAGGTCAGCTGTTAGCCTGGATTAGCACAAAGACTGGAAACTGTGGGAAACTGCTAGCCTAGCTAAGCACAAAGACTGGAAGCTGGGGGAAACTGCTAGCCTAGCTCAGCACAAAGACTGGAAGCTGGGGGAAACTGCTAGCCTAGCTCAGCACAAAGACTGGAAGCTGGGGGAAACTGCTAGCCTAGCTTAGCACAAAGACTGGAAGCTGGGGGAAACTGCTAGCCTAGCTTAGCACAAAGACTGTAAACTGCTAGCCTAGCTTAGCACAAAGACTGGACACAGAGGGAAACTGCTAGCCTAGCTTAGCACATAGACTGGACACAGAGGGGAACTGTTAGCCTAGCTTTGCACAAAGACTGGAAGCTGGGGGAAACTGCTAGCCTAGCTAAGCAAAAAGACAGGTAGCAGAGGTAAAGCCTAGCTTAGCACAAAGACTGGAAGCTGGGGGAAACTGCTAGCCTAGCTTAGCACATAGACTGGACACAGAGGGGAACTGTTAGCCTAGCTTTGCACAAAGACTGGAAGCAGGGGGAAACTGCTAGCCTAGCTAAGCAAAAAGACAGGCAGCAGAGGTCAGCTGTTAGCCTGGATTAGCACAAAGACTGGAAACTGTGGGAAACTGCTAGCCTAGCTAAGCACAAAGACTGGAAGCTGGGGGAAACTGCTAGCCTAGCTCAGCACAAAGACTGGAAGCTGGGGGAAACTGCTAGCCTAGCTCAGCACAAAGACTGGAAGCTGGGGGAAACTGCTAGCCTAGCTTAGCACAAAGACTGGAAGCTGGGGGAAACTGCTAGCCTAGCTTAGCACAAAGACTGTAAACTGCTAGCCTAGCTTAGCACAAAGACTGGACACAGAGGGAAACTGTTAGCCTAGCTTTGCACAAAGACTGGAAGCTGGGGAAAACTGGTAGCCTAGCTTAGCACAAAGACAGGAAACTTCTAGCCTAGCTTAGCACAAAGACAGGAAACTGCTAGCCTAGCTTAGCACAAAGACTGGACACAGAGGGAAACTGTTAGCCTAGCTTTGCACAAAGACAGGCAGCAGAGGTAAACTGTTAGCCTAGCTTTGCACAAAGACTGGAAGCTGGGGGAAACTGCTAGCCTAGCTTAGCACAAAGACTGGAAACTGCTAGCCTAGATTAGCACAAAGACTGGACACAGAGGGAAACTGTTAGCCTAGCTTTGCACAAAGACAGGCAGCAGAGGTAAACTGTTATCCTAGCTTAGCACAAAGACTGGAAGCTGGGGGAAACTGTTAGCCTAGCTTTGCACAAAGACTGGAAGCAGGGGGAAACTGCTAGCCTAGCTAAGCAAAAACACTGGAAACTGTTAGCCTAGCTTAGCACATAGACTGGACACAGAGGGAAACTGTTAGCATAGCTAAGCACAAAGACTGGAAGCAGAGGTAAACTGTTAGCCTAGCTTAGCACAAAGACTGGAAGCTGGGGGAAATGCTAGCCTAGCTTAGCACAAAGACTGGAAACTGCTAGCCTAGCTTAGCACATAGACTGGACACAGAGGGAAACTGTTAGCCTAGCTTAGCACAAAGACTGGAAGCTGGGGGAAACTCATTATAGAGAACTCGTCCTGCAAGTCAGTTTAGTCAGTCTCAGCAGAGTCAGCTCCTCATGACGGGTGATTATTGATTACCGATCCGACGGGTTTCAATCAGAGGTCTCGCTCATCATCACCGACTGACAGGAGAACAAACAGGAAGTGGAGGAGAACAAACAGGAAGTGGAGGCTCACCTGGATCTCAGTCCCTGGATCTCAGACAGCAGCTCAAACTGACCCATGTAGCACTGCATCACCTCCAGCAGGGCGGCGCTCAGCTCGGCCCGTCGGCCCGACATGCAGCCCTCCGCCAGACCGGCCGCGCTCCCGTTCACCTGCACACAGACACCGTCACTTTAAGAGGGGTTAACCAATCAGCAGCTGGAAACCTGTTTCAGCCTGCAGGTCTGTGATGTAATCAATCCTCAGGTGAAGCTGGATCAGTGGGCGTGGTGCTACCTGCAGTGTGAAGCGGTCGTCGTGGCTCCAGGTGACTGACAGCTTCAGCGGATCGAGCTCATTGGACGACTGGTTAGATGGGGAGCGTGGCCTGAGCTCCAAGCACAGCTCTGATTGGCTGAAGGACAGCAGATTGATCTGCATGACGTCCTGGACGGTGGAGACGTACACCTGCAGCCTGACAGGTGAACAGGAGGCGGAGTTAGTGACCAATCACAACCACCGAGCCAAGGTCACGTGACCCGATGACACTCACTCGTCTCTGAGCCGCTGCCAGCTGGTCAGCTGACTGAGCGCCGCCTCCGACTCCGCCCTCAGCTTGGTCAGCTGATGGTCACACGCCTGCAATGCATGTTGGACCTTCTGCAGAGACTCCCTCAGCTGTTCACGCTGCTGCTTCTGAAGGAGACAAGGAGACGAGAGGAGATAAGGAGAGAACATAAGGACAGGAGGCGAGAGGAGATAAGGAGAGGAAACAAGGAAAGGAGATAGGATAGAAGACAAGGAGAGGAGACGAGAGGAGATAAGGAGAGGAAACAAGGAAAGGAGATAGGATAGAAGACAAGGAGAGGACACAGGGAGAGGAGAAGGTAAGTGAAGGAGGAGACAAGGACAGGAGAAAGGAGAGAAGACAAGGAGAGGAGACAAGGAGAGGACACAGGGAGAGGAGAAGGTAAGTGAAGGAGGAGACAAGGAGACGAGAGGAGATAAGGAGAGGAGACAAGGAGACGAGAGGAGATAAGGAGAGGAGACAAGGAGAGGCGATAAGGAGAGAACATAAGGACAGGAGACTAGAGGAGATAAGGAGAGGAAACAAGGACTGGAGATAGGAGAGAAGACAAGGAGACGAGAGGAGATAAGGAGAGGAAACATGGACACGAGGAGGCAAAGAGAGGAGGGGACAAGGAGAGGAGATAAGGACATGAGGAGACGAGGAGACAACGAGACAACAAAAGGACAGGAGACGGGAAGAGATAAGGAGAGGAAACACGGACACGAGGAGATAAGGACATGAGGAGACAAGGAGAGGACACAAGGACAGGAGACGGGAGGAGATAAGGAGAGGAAACACGGACACGAGATGAGGAGAAGAGAAGATAAGGAGAGAAGGACATGAGGAGACGAGCCAGACAGATTTAAGCGGACTCCTCTCCACCTTCATAGTTTCACCCTCTGCAAGACTCATCTCCAACAAGCTTTCTGACAGCTGGAGTACCTGCAGTGGATTCTGGGTATTGTAGTAACGTAAACGTAACGCAGCTCTGACAGTTCGGGAGAATATTTGGAAAATACTTTCTTCTGCCATCAGAGACGTTTACATTTATTCATCTAGCTGACGCTTTTATCCAAAGTGACTTACAATTAATATATACACATGTCAGAGGTCGCACGCCTCTGGAGCAACGAGGGGTTAAGTGTCTTGCTCAGGGACACAATGGTGTCTCAGTGGAGGATTGAACCCGGGTCTCACATCAAAGGCATGCGTCTTCTCCACTGCGCCATCACCACAGTTAAAACCAACAATACAAACGCAGGTGACAACATGCGGAAACCCACTGAGTCTACGATTCAATGAGGGACGAGGGACCGGATCAGCCGCCTGTTACCCAGCACCACGTGACCACACTGAACTTCCTAACCGCTTCCACCCTCGCTAACTGTGGACGCCCTCCTCTCATTGGCCGTTAGTCTCCCCTCCAGCTGTTCTCGTCACCTTCTCCTGCAGCTGCCGGACCAGCTGCGTGAGTTTGTGTCGTCTGTCGTGGATCTGCTGGATTTTCTCCTGCAGAGATCTGAGCAGAGCCTCCGTCTCCTCCGTCCTGGTCCTGCTCTCCGCCTTCAGGGCCTTCCACCTGCCCCGGGCCCCGCCCTCTGACGCACACACACACAGGTACAGCAGTTAGAAGAGATGGAGCTTAAATGTCATGAAGGAAACATGCAGAGAAGCTCGTTCAGTGACGTCTTTGTTTAAATCCTGTTTACACTAAATATCTAAATCTGAAGAGGTTCAAGACTCACATACAAATAAACCTGGTAACGTCAAAACATTTTGTGTGTACTGTGTGTACTGTGTGTACTGTGTGTACCGGGCTGGGGGGGGCAGCCTTGTGTCATCAGTTGCTGGGCAGACTCCAGACCCTCCAACAGAGACATCATGGAGTCCAGAACAAACAGCTGACGCCACAGAACCTTCTGCACACGACGGCTGTCCTGAACACACAGATCAGTGTCGGTCGTTTATTTTCTGTCAAATAACCGATCGACTGATCGATTCCGCACTGAAGTCATTAAAGGTGTTAAGGTTTAATCCAAAGGTGGCGCTTCAGATTTCTTCCAGCTAACCCTAACCCTTGAAGCGACATATCAAGGCTGACCACCGGGAACTGAGGTACCTTAATGTCGCCTTTGCAGTGAAAAGGAGAATAAACATTTTATCTGTAATTGAGAGGAGTGAAATAAAGACTAAAATGATAAATATCTCTCTGCTGGTTTGAGCAGATCGACCAAAATACTCATCAAAATTACAAAAATCATATCGTTGCACATTCTGCATAGTTATTCATAGCGTGCTGCCACCACCTGGTCGTAGCCTGCACCTCCCTGTATTTATATTTATATTTCATTCAGACCTTGCACTTTCTATTATAATGTATCACATTCTGTTTTATTACTGCTCTGCATTTCGTTGCTTTGTACCAGTGACAATAAAGTTGAATCTAATCTAACTAATGAGTTAGGAAAGACTGACAGGAAGGTTAATGACTAAAATAACCAGACTTTTAGGCAAATAAAACTTGATTTAAACAAATAGTATACAGTGGACATCTGACACAGGACTATAAGACTAAAGGCTGATGAAATTAACCGCACTACGGTGCAGGGGAAATAACTTGCAGACTCCTCCCTGTGGTTGACATGACGTCTGTCTTCGGTCTGCCAGCAGCTCCGTAAACATCCTGTCCACACACTGTTGTTACTGTGCATCATCTTCCAGCTCTCTTGGTTTTATATTAAACACAATAAAAGGCAGACTGACCGTCAGGTAGGCGACCATCCGGGCTGCCTCACCACAGTCCGGCTGCTCCGGGTCTCCGTGGGGGTCCAGTAGAGCCGGATCACAGCGCTGCAGCACACTGAGACACAGAGAGAGACACAGAGAGGCAGAGACAGACAGAGACACAGACACAGGTTGAGACACAGAGACAGAGACACAGAGGCAGGGAGACAGAGGCAGGGAGACAGACACAGAGACACAGACACAGAGGCACAGACACAGAGACACAGACACAGGTTGAGACACAGAGACAGAGACACAGAGGCAGGGAGACAGAGGCAGGGAGACAGACACAGAGACACAGACACAGAGGCACAGACACAGAGACACAGAGGCAGGTGGAGACACAGAGACACAGACACAGAGGCACAGACAGGTGGAGACAGAGACACAGAGGCAGGTGGAGACAGAGACACAGAGGCAGGTGGAGACAGAGACACAGAGACAGGGAGACAGACACAGAGACAGAGGCACAGACAGGTGGAGACACAGAGACAGGTGGAGACAGAGACACAGAGGCAGGTGGAGACAGACACAGAGGCACAGAGGCACAGACAGGTGGAGACACAGAGACACAGACACAGAGGCACAGACAGGTGGAGACACAGAGACACAGACACAGAGGCAGGTGGAGACACAGAGACAGAGACACAGACACAGAGACACAGAGGCAGGGAGACAGACACAGAGACACAGACACAGAGGCAGGTGGAGACACAGAGACAGGGAGACAGAGACAGAGACACAGAGGCAGGTGGAGACAGAGACACAGAGCCAGGTGGAAACAAAGAGACACAGAGGCAGGTGGAGACAGAGACACAGAGACAGGTGGAGACAGAGACACAGGTGGAGACAGAGACACAGAGGCAGGTGGAGACACAGAGACAGGGAGACAGAGACAGAGACACAGAGGCAGGTGGAGACAGAGACACAGAGCCAGGTGGAAACAAAGAGACACAGAGGCAGGTGGAGACAGAGACACAGAGACAGGTGGAGACAGAGACACAGGTGGAGACAGAGACACAGAGGCAGGTGGAGACACAGAGACAGGGAGACAGAGACAGAGAGACAGAGACAGGTGGAGACAGAGACACAGAGGCAGGTGGAGACAGAGACACAGAGACAGGTGGAGACAGAGACACAGGTGGAGACAGAGACACAGAGGCAGGTGGAGACACAGAGAGACAGAGACAGGTGGAGACAGAGACACAGAGGCAGGTGGAGACACAGAGAGACAGAGACAGGGAGACAGAGACAGACAGAGACACAGAGACAGGTGGAGACAGAGACACAGAGACAGGTAACGTTAGAGCTCTAACAACCATCTTTACACCGTTAGCTCCGTTAGCTTCAGCTAGCTTACTAACGTTCTTTACCGCCGTTTATTCTCATGTTTTCAGCCGTTTGAGTCACAAAATCTAAACCGTGTGGACAGAAAAACCCCGTCTGACCCTGAAGTTACATCTGAAACACGCTTTAAACGCAAACATCTGGAGCTGTTCGTTAAAAACAGACACTTACGCTCGGACGTCGGCCATTTCTATTTTCAAACAACCGCGGGACCACGAGCCATCTGATTGGCCGACTGACGATGACGCCGCCGCACTTTGAGCCAATCAGGAATAATCTTTCTACAAAACTTTATTGTAAACCTTTTTGGCCAACATTAACAGTGTGGACAGTGAAAAGGCAAAATACACAGTGAGGAAAAAATTATTATTAATAATAATAAATATAAGAAACATTGTCACATACATACTTATACATATATTCACAGATTTATAATGTTCTATTTCCTTAAAAATACGTCAAAATATTTATCTTTTTTTCGAATTCAGTTTGTGAAAGAGAATAATAATAATCACATTCATCATGAAAATATCATATTTATACTTAAATACATTGAAACCAAGTGTTTAATATTTTTTAACAAAGAGGAATCATTGTATTTTATAAACCCGTAATGTCACAACGTCAAAGAGAGATTGTTTTTGTTTGTTTATTCGTCACTATTTTACAAACCAAACAATCAATCATATTCACTGAGCCACCGAACAGCGGCTGCATGCTGCTTTCCTGAGCGACGGATTAAATTTACATTTATCCATTTAGCTGACGCTTTTATCCAAAGCGACTTACAGCTGCTGTACATGTCAGAGGTCGCACGCCTCTGGAGCAGCGAGGGGTTAAATGTCTCGCTCAGGGACACGATGGTGTCTCTCACAGTAGATTCAAACCCGGGTCTCTCACACCAAAGGCATGTGTCCACACACAAAACTATACGCAGAGGGTCAATTTCACGACATGTATGTGACAATAAAGTACCTTTACCTTAGTAACTATCCCCATTTAACTAGTAACTATTGATTAGACACTAGTACTTCATTTTAGTTACTAGTAACTATTCAAATTGATGGTATCTGAACTGCTGAGCCACGTAGGGCAAAAATGTGCAATTAGTCTCTAGTAACTAATGCAGTACTTATTAGTAGCCAAAAAATAAGTACTGCTTTTATATAGCGACTAGTAGGTTTTAAGGAATAAATGTTAAAACAGCTCAAAAACCACAGCAGCAACATCCTGCTTTAAAGTATTAGCACTTTTACTGCAGGGACATTTCCCTGAGTATAAGTACTTTTACTGCAGGGACATTTCCCTGAGTGTTAGTACTGCAGTACCAGCTCTGAGTACTCCCTCCTGGTTGTACTTTTACTGCAGGAACATTTCCCTGAGTATAAGTACTTTTACTGCAGGAACATTTCACTGAGTGTTAGTACTTTTACTGCAGGGACATTTCCCTGAGTATAAGTACTTTTACTGCAGGAACATTTCACTGAGTGTTAGTACTTTTACTGCAGGAACATTTCCCTGAGTATAAGTACTTTTACTGCAGGAACATTTCCCTGAGTGTTAGTACTGCAGTACCAGCTCTGAGTACTCCCTCCTGGTTGTACTTTTACTGCAGGAACATTTCCCTGAGTATAAGTACTTTTACTGCAGGAACATTTCCCTGAGTGTTAGTACTGAAGTACCGGCTCTGAGTACTCCCTCCTGGTTGTACTTTTACTGCAGGAACATTTCACTGAGTATAAGTACTTTTACTGCAGGAACATTTCCCTGAGTATAAGTACTTTTACTGCAGGAACATTTCACTGAGTATAAGTACTTTTACTGCAGGAACATTTCCCTGAGTATAAGTACTTTTACTGCAGGAACATTTCCCTGAGTATAAGTACTTTTACTGCAGGAACATTTCCCTGAGTGTTAGTACTGCAGTACCAGCTCTGAGTACTCCCTCCTGGTTGTACTTTTACTGCAGGAACATTTCCCTGAGTATAAGTACTTTTACTGCAGGAACATTTCCCTGAGTGTTAGTACTGAAGTACCGGCTCTGAGTACTCCCTCCTGGTTGTACTTTTACTGCAGGAACATTTCACTGAGTATAAGTACTTTTACTGCAGGAACATTTCACTGAGTATAAGTACTTTTACTGCAGGCACATTTCCCTGAGTGTTAGTACTGCAGTACCGGCTCTGAGTACTCCCTCCTGGTTGTACTTTTACTGCAGGAACATTTCACTGAGTATAAGTACTTTTACTGCAGGCACATTTCCCTGAGTGTTATTACTGCAGTACCAGCTCTGAGTACTCCCTCCTGGTTGTACTTTTACTGCAGGAACATTTCCCTGAGTATAAGTACTTTTACTGCAGGAACATTTCCCTGAGTGTTAGTACTGCAGTACCGGCTCTGAGAACTCCCTCCTGGTTGTACTTTTACTGCAGGAACATTTCCCTGAGTATAAGTACTTTTACTGCAGGAACATTTCCCTGAGTGTTAGTACTGCAGTACCGGCTCTGAGTACTCCCTCCTGGTTGTACTTTTACTGCAGGAACATTTCACTGAGTATAAGTACTTTTACTGCAGGAACATTTCCCTGAGTATAAGTACTTTTACTGCAGGAACATTTCACTGAGTGTTAGTACTGCAGTACCAGCTCTGAGTACTCCCTCCTGGTTGTACTTTTACTGCAGGAACATTTCCCTGAGTATAAGTACTTTTACTGCAGGAACATTTCCCTGAGTATAAGTACTTTTACTGCAGGCACATTTCCCTGAGTGTTAGTACTGCAGTACCGGCTCTGAGAACTCCCTCCTGGTTGTACTTTTACTGCAGGAACATTTCCCTGAGTATAAGTACTTTTACTGCAGGCACATTTCCCTGAGTATAAGTACTTTTACTGCAGGAACATTTCCCTGAGTATAAGTACTTTTACTGCAGGCACATTTCCCTGAGTGTTAGTACTGCAGTACCGGCTCTGAGTACTCCCTCCTGGTTGTACTTTTACTGCAGGAACATTTCCCTGAGTATAAGTACTTTTACTGCAGGCACATTTCCCTGAGTGTTATTACTGCAGTACCAGCTCTGAGTACTCCCTCCTGGTTGTACTTTTACTGCAGGAACATTTCCCTGAGTATAAGTACTTTTACTGCAGGAACATTTCCCTGAGTGTTATTACTGCAGTACCGGCTCTGAGTACTCCCTCCTGGTTGGACTGCAGGAGAAGCAGTGTCAGAACGCGCTGCAGTGACGTCAGCTTGCAGCTGCAGTGACGTCAGCCTGCAGCTGCAGTGCATGCCTCGGCAGGTCACGTGCTCCTGTGTGTTGACTGGAGGGGGAATAAAAAAATCTGAGCAGAGCTCTGCAGCACAGCAGCTAACGGCTAACCGCGGAGCTAACCGAGAGACACACAGCGGCAGGTGTCACAGAGCACGAGCGCAGCGAGCAGACAGGTGAAAGGATGAGTTAACCTGCAGGGAGCCGCGCACGTTCACAGGTAGTATCTGTTCCACCTGGATGATGCTGCACAGACCTGCTGCTAATGCTAACACACAGCTAGCTGGTGAGCTAACTCCGCCTATCAGTAACTAGTCGTTTTAGAAACTAACGGCCCGGGATGTATCTGCGTGTATCTGCGTGTATCTGCGTGTATCTGCGGGCAGATGTTCATTGTTTTTTACTAAACTGCATTACAAGAGCTTTGCAGAGAAGCTAACGTGCTAGCTTTGCAGAGAAGCTAACGTGCTAGCTTTGCAGAGAAGCTAACGTGCTAGGTTAGCAGGCTGCAGAGATGCAGGCCGGTGCTGATGATGCTAACTGGGAGCTAACTCATCTATCTGACGATGCTGAGAATCAGAGATGAACTCGCTCCTTTTCTGGTTTAACAAACAGAACAACGGTCCCAGAAATCAGAGTTTGGGTGTTAAACAGTCTCTAGAGTCTATTTGTTAGACTAGTCCAGATTTGACAAGTCTAAGTGTAGTGGTTTTTGATGTGGACCTGGTCTGATGTGGTCTAGGAAGTCTCTGTCTTTGACACAAACTGTATAATAAAAGGATGAAACCGGCAGTTTCAGAGACTCAGTGTTCGTATAGTTCAGGTCTTTACTGTGGCCTTTGATGTAGACCTGGTCTGATGTGGAGCCGACCTGAGATCTGCTGAGCTGTGGGTCGACAGCAGTGATGTAGTGAGGCCTGAAGATGATAGACAGTCGTGTTCTTGTGGTCCACGGTGACGAGGACGAGACGTGATGCTGGACTTTATTCTGACAGGAGACAGATGTTGATCTTTATCTTCTGTCGCTCCTCGTTATGTTTAAATTCGAAGTTGCAGGGACTGATCAGAGGTGAGATCAGAGCTGAGTCCTGAGTGTTCTGCAGAGACGGGAGGCGCCACCATGAAGACAGAAGAACCTTTAAACTTGTTTCTGTCCAGCTCATCCGAGGGCGGAACATAACGAGCTGTTTGTGTTTCAGGTGATCAGCTGTTGCAGCAGGATGCCCACCCCCCCCCTCCTCCCCCACCACCAGGGGGACCCCCACCTCCCCCCACCTTCAGCCAGGTAACTACACACCATCATCATCATCATCACTCCAACACCTTCCTCATCGTCTTCTCCTGCCCGGCTCCATGTTTATCACAGATTGGGTTTATTACAGGGACGTCAGGGTACCTGTCGATACTGATACCAGTACAAGTTCTAGATAATTGATACCACAGTCAAAACAAAACAATAAATCCCATCACGCACTTCAGTATCCGCTCCTTTAATAAAAACATTGAACGTTGTAAAGAACAACTACCAGCTGTGAGAGAGAGAGAGAGAGGACGTCCAGGACGGATGAGAGGTGAGCAAACGGTTGAAATTACAACCGTCACTGTTCTTAATTAGTTAATTAAACTTTTCTTTACAATCTGTCAGGTGTGAACTGTCTCTGGGTGGCAGTGAGATTTCTGGGTTTAAAAACTAAACAGTTTTTGACGATTTAAACGGATCGTATTGACCTTTTCAGACGGTCCCTAACTCCTCCTGCAGTAACAGGAGTGTTGGACAGACACTCAGTTCTTAGAGCTGCAAACTGCATCGTCACCTTTGGTGATTTTCAGGTGATCAAACTGGGACATCTGCCTAAATTAGCTCTCCAACCGAACCAGAACTGGGAGAATTTTGACGCTGAGCTGTGAAAAGAATTGAGACTTGACTTGGACTCCAGCTCAGAGACTTGAGACTTGACTTGGACTCCAGCTCAGAGACTTGAGACTTGACTTGGACTCTAGCTCAGAGACGTGAGACTTAACTTGGACTCTAGCTCAGAGACTTGAGACTTGACTTGGACTCTAGCTCAGAGACTTGAGACTTGACTTGGACTCTAGCTCAGAGACTTGAGACTTGACTTGGACTCCAGCTCAGAGACTTGAGACTTGACTTGGACTCTAGCTCAGAGACTTGTGACTTGACTTGGACTCTAGCTCAGAGACTTGTGACTTGACTTGGACTCCAGCTCAGAGACTTGTGACTTGACTTGGACTCTTGCTCAGAGACTTGTGACTTGACCTGGACTCCAGCTCAGAGACTTGTGACTTGACTTGGACTCTAGCTCAGAGGCTTGTGACTTGACTTGGACTCTAGCTCAGAGGCTTGAGACTTGACTTGGACTCTAGCTCAGAGGCTTGAGACTTGACCTGGACTCTAGCTCAGAGGCTTGAGACTAGACTTGGACTCCAGCTCAGAGACTTGTGACTTGACTTGGACTCCAGCTCAGAGACTCGACACTTGACCTGGACTCCAGCTCAGAGACTCGACACTTGACCTGGACTCCAGCTCAGAGACTCGACACTTGACCTGGACTCCAGCTCAGAGACTCGACACTTGACCTGGACTCCAGCTCAGAGACTTGAGACTTGACTTGGACTCCAGCTCAGAGACTTGAGACTTGACTTGGACTCCAGCTCAGAGACTTGAGACTTGAGACTTGACTTGGACTCCAGCTCAGAGACTTGTGACTTGAGACTTGACTTGGACTCCAGCTCAGAGACTTGAGACTTGAGACTTGACTTGGACTCCAGCTCAGAGACTTGAGACTTGAGACTTGACTTGGACTCCAGCTCAGAGACTTGTGACTTGAGACTTGACTTGGACTCCAGCTCAGAGACTTGTGACTTGAGACTTGACTTGGACTCCAGCTCAGAGACTTGTGACTTGAGACTTGACTTGGACTCCAGCTCAGAGACTTGTGACTTGAGACTTGACTTGGACTCCAGCTCAGAGACTTGTGACTTGAGACTTGACTTGGACTCCAGCTCAGAGACTTGAGACTTGACTTGGACTCCAGCTCAGAGACTTGAGACTTGAGACTTGACTTGGACTCTAGCTCAGAGACTTGTGACTTGAGACTTGACTTGGACTCCAGCTCAGAGACTTGTGACTTGAGACTTGACTTGGACTCCAGCTCAGAGACTTGTGACTTGAGACTTGACTTGGACTCCAGCTCAGAGACTTGTGACTTGAGACTTGACTTGGACTCCAGCTCAGAGACTTGTGACTTGAGACTTGACTTGGACTCCAGCTCAGAGACTTGAGACTTGACTTGGACTCTAGCTCAGAGACTTGAGACTTGAGACTTGACTTGGACTCTAGCTCAGAGACTTGAGACTTGACTTGGACTCCAGCTCAGAGACTTGTGAGCATCCTTGGGATTTATAAGAAGGGGAATTTTTCACCACTGGTATTATATTAATTCCAGTTAGAGCAGTTTTAATTACAGACACTGGTCTGTAAATTATTAATGATCAATAATCATAACTATGCAGTCTTTGATTCCCCGTCTGCCCCCCCAGGCCAACACCAGCCCCCCCAAGCTGAGCAGAGAGGAGGCTAAAGGTCGCGGCGCTCTGCTGACGGACATCTGTAAAGGCACCCGGCTGAAGAAGGTGGCGGTGGTGAACGACCGCAGCGCGCCGCTGCTCGACAGTAAGAGCCAAACACCAAAGAGCCAAACACCTCCCACAGACCACCCATACATTCGCTTATACCAGTACCTACACCAGCAGCAGAGCCCGCCTCCACAGCAGGGGGCGCCGCCCGAGGAGCAGCAGAGGACGGCCGGAGGTCAGAGCTCCGCTCCTCCGTCACTAGAGAGTAAGACCACTAACCTTGTGTGATGTCAGAGCGCGATGCAGGAGGCAGCAGGGTCTCAGCCAGCCGCCATGTTTCCTGTCCACCAGACCGGACTGAGGACTCGGGTCCAGAACCTTTAACGTCTTTCTGAGACTAAAAGCTGCTCAGCTGGTGCTTTCAAATCTTCACAAGCGTTTAGTTTCCCGCCTCGTTAATCAAACCGCTTGTTTACAGTCAGAGTGAGAGAGGTCAGTGGAGGTGTTTCTGCTGCGGAGCAGGAAACAAGAAATCCTCCACCAGAGCCACAAGAAACCCGAAAACCAGATCTCATTCCCACGGATCTGAGATACGAGCCTGCAGGGCTGGAAGATGCAACCAAAATGTTTTCACAATACAAACTTCACATCAGTTGAAATCAATAATTATCAGGATAAACATCAAATCTTTTTTCTTCCAGGTTTAAAGTCTGATTTCTGCTCCTGAGAGAAAGTTAATGTGGTTTTAAACTTAAACAGCGGATCATTAATCTGAGGCAGAACATTCAGACAAAATCTGTTTCTACAAATGTGCACGAGGAAAATTAAATAAAATATTTTTTCCTCAACAAAATAAGTAATAATAATTAATAGAAACATTCAGTGCTGATTCGTTCATGATTCTATAGGGCTGGACAATAAAACCGATATTCAATAAATGTTTTTTATTCACTTGAGTCAAAACGAATTAGGACTTAATTTTTCTATTAACATGTTTATTTTGTTGAAGCAAAAGTGACTTAAAAAGCTTTTACTTAATTTTCCTCGTGCGTATTTGTTGAAACACATTTTGTCTGAATGTTCTGCCTCAGATTAATGATCCGCTGTTTAAGTTTAAAACCACATTAACTTTCTCTCAGGAGCAGAAATCAGACTTTAAACTTAAAGAAATAAAGATTTGATGTTTATCCTGATAACGTTGTTGGCCGAATCGTCCAGCCCTGAGATTCAAACAAATTAAATCAACCATTTATTGAACATTTGTTTGATTGTTTTTGAGGGAAATGATCTCACTGTTATTGGTTTATTGCCCGGCCCTACGAGCTCGTTCACGTGGTCACCTTGATTTACCAGCCTGGATCCTCTCCGTAGGCCGAGACTCTCACCATCTGGTTCTTCTTAAACATCAGAGTCAGAAACACCGACGAGCTCATTAACCAAACTACATTCAACATTTTGCCGGTTTTATGGTTTGACAGAGAGTTAAAGTCAGGAAGCTGCAGCCGAGGGAGCCAGAAAAACAGTTTGCACACTCGCTGTTAGTTGTTATTATTATTATTAAAATATTATCTAATTATTATAATACATTAACGGAGAGCCTCCTCAGGGGGGCGCCGCAGAGATCCTGCAGGAGGTGAAACAGTCTCTCCTGCTCCTCCTCAGAGTTTAACACACACACAGTTTGTTCATTAGGTCCAGCTGATTTTACTCTGTTCATCTCTTCCTGTTTGTTTTTGTTCCACTTTTTTCTGTCCCGCCTCGTCTGAGATGTTGATTTTGTTTGTGATTTAACGCCTCTCTCCTTTCTTATTGACGGCGATCAGCTGGAGCTGAAATATGAAATATTGAAAACATCATCTCACGGCACCACGACAGGTTAACTGTCATCAGACAGGTGGGCGGCTGGTTAGAACAGATCCTGCGGCGTCCTGCAGAGCGCCTGCTGACCTGATGATGATGATGTGTGCTGCCCACTTTCAATCCTGACCCACCTGTCAGAGTGAAGCTGATTAAAGTCGCATGTTGGAACTGTTTCCTGTCCGGCAGAAGGGATGATGAGTCGGCTGTAACAGGAAGTAGTTCCAGCATGTAACCACAAACTGTTTGGGTCAAACCGCCTCGCACGCAGCGCCACGTGTTAGCACGCTTTGCTAGTTCATTAGCATTTAATGCTTACACGCTACACCTAGCTGTAACGTTGCTATGCTAAGCTAGCTGATGTAAGGCTGCTCGGCTCACCTGCTTCCTGTTTACCTGCGGTGGAGGACGGTAACACCTGGCGGCGGGTGATCTTCCACCGGAGCCTGGTTCCACCTCGGGTCTCGTTCTGCTCGTGATAAACTCGCCGAGTCACACGAGAGATCTGCGAGCACGCCGTCAGAGCAGCCAGGTGACCACACAGGTAGCGGACGCGGCCCACGCGGCGTTAGCTACTGGATCGCTGTGGTTACAGTTTACGTTTCAGGAAGTTGGTTCCTCTCCTGTGTGGATCCTTCAGGATCTGTTTCAGAAACGCACAGAGAGGAAACAGGAAGTGGGGGTTTCTGCTGAGGTCACACCTGTGTGGTCGCTGGCTAGCTCACAGCTAACGGCTGCAGGTCGGCGGCGGTTTGACGCGAGGTGGAAGTTTGTCTGAACCAATCAGGAGAAAATGTTTGGATTGTGTTTGTGACCTCACAGCCATGAGTGATGTCATAGATGTGATGTCACAGATTATAACATGTGTCTGTTTGTCACTCATGTTGTGCTGTCGGTGATGTCATCGGAGCAGCGTGGGCGCGTAAACACTTCATTCACTTTTACCATCACACCTCACCTGAGTGTCACATTACCTGAGCTCACCTGCACCCCCCCCCCCCCCCCACCCATCACACATTTACTCATTCAGTCAGTGATGTCATCTTAGTGTCATCGTAGTGTAGTGACATCATGCTGCGGAGGCGGAGCCCTTATTCACCTGTCCAATGGTTGTGGTTCTCAGAGCCTAAAGGAGGCGGAGCAGCAACAGGGGGAGCCAATGGCAGCGCAGCAGGGAGCCCGTCAGGTTCTGTTCCACCAATCGGAGGACTGTTCACAGGCGGAGTTCCTAAACTGAGACCAGTCGGAGGTGAAGAGTTAATGAATATTAATCTATTTATTGATATTATATAAAAATGATTTATTTATATTTTAAAACTTTTATATAATTTATTTTTGTTTTTAAACCTTTCTATATTTTAAACTTTTCTATACATATTTTTAAGTTTAAACTTTAATTTATTTAAATCTTTTTGGATCTTTTTTGTACTTTAGTCCCTGTATTTATATTTCTAAATGTATTTTATTAGTATTTTTATTATTTGTAGATCACTTTGTTATTTTTTATTATACATTTTGTTTTTTATTACTTTAATATTCTTTTTTTATTGTTTTCTGAAATCATGTGAATTCATCAGTTTTTGATCGATCAGTATATTGATTATATATTTTGCAGACGGCTCCTCTGGACGTTCTCCCTCCACTCGGGGCGCAGCGCCCCGCCCCCCCAGCCATCGCCATGATGACCCAGAAAGCCCCTCCCCTCAGGCGTTGTCGCCGATGGAGACGCCTCGTTCCCAGCGTCCCTCGCTGCCCAACCTCTCCTCCTCTCACTCCTCCTCCTCCCCCTCGTCCGCCGCCTCCTCCCCCTCCTCCAGCATGAAGCACTCCTCCTCCGCCCCCCCTCCACCTCCTCCTGCCTGTCGCCGCGGTAACGCCCCCTCCCCACCCTCCTCCTATAACAGAGAGAAGCCCCTCCCCCCGACCCCTAACAACACGCCGCCCCTCCCGTCCAAACCTCCCCCGTCTCCTAGCAACAGCAGGCGCCCTCCCACCTCAGGAGGAAATACCGCGTCCTCCACCTCCTCCTCCTCTCTGGCCCCGCCCCCTCCACCTTACCGAATCACTAACGGTCCGTCAGGTGGCGGCGAGGCGGCGCCTGAGCTGCCGCAGCGCCACAACTCCCTCGGCAACAAGAGGACCGCCCCCACACCAGGAGGCCACACCCCCACCAGAGGCCACGCCCCTCCACCTCCCCCAGCCTCCCCTACCCCCTCACAACAGGGCGCCAACAGGCCGCCGCCCCCCATCAGAGAGACGCCAGGTAGAGGAGCAGGTGAGAACTCAGCTGTTTGTAGTGATGTCATCAGAAACTGGACACGGTCCAGGTGCATTATGGGAGACGTAGGATCCAGTCTTTATGGACTGAGGTCAGGATCAGATGTACTGTACTGATCTCTGGTCTCTGTCCTCAGCTCCTCCGGTCCCGGTCCAGTCCTCGGCGCTGAGGGCAGGTGGCAGAGAAGCCCCGCCCCCTCCTCCTTACAGGACACATGGTAGCCCCTCCCTCTCCTCCGACCCCCCCGCCAGAGGGAAACCTCCTCCCCCGCCAACCCGCACCCCCGCTGCTCCTCCCCCGCCTCCCCCTCCTCTTCGCAACGGACACTCCTCCTCCTCCATCATCCCTCGTTCTTTTGTCGGTGAGTCTGTTTGTCTCTTCTTTCCTCCGTCTGTCCGCCCGAAACCACAGAACAGAATCTGAGCCGGCTCGCGGCGAGACCGGCATGATGAAGTCAGACGGTCGCATGAAAACCTCCTGCTCTCTGTTGATGTGATTAAAGCTGCAGATTCGTCTCTCCGTCCTCTCGTCTCTCCGTCCTCTCGTCTCTTCTCCTTCGTCTCTTCTCCTTTGTCTCTCCGTGCTCTCGTCTCTCCGTCCTCTCGTCTCTTCTCCTTCGTCTCTTCTCCTTCGTCTCTTCTCCTTTGTCTCTCCGTCCTCTCGTCTCTCCGTCCTCTCGTCTCTTCTCCTTCGTCTCTTCTCCTTCGTCTCTCCGTCCTCTCGTCTCTTCTCCTTTGTCTCTTCTCCTTCGTCTCTTCTCCTTCGTCTCTCCGTGCTCTCGTCTTTTCTCCTTCGTCTTTTCTCCTTCGTCTTTTCTCCTTCGTCTTTTCTCCTTCGTCTCTTCTCCTTCGTCTCTCCGTGCTCTCGTCTCTCCGTGCTCTCGTCTCTTCTCCTTCGTCTCTTCTCCTTCGTCTCTCCGTGCTCTCGTCTCTCCGTCCTCTCGTCTCTTCTCCTTCATCTCTTCTCCTTCGTCTCTTCTCCTTCGTCTCTTCTCCTTCGTCTCTCCGTGCTCTCGTCTCTCCGTGCTCTCGTCTCTTCTCCTTCGTCTCTTCTCCTTCGTCTCTCCGTCCTCTCGTCTCTCCGTCCTCTCGTCTTTTCTCCTTCGTCTCTTCTCCTTTGTCTCTTCTCCTTTGTCTCTCCGTCCTCTCGTCTCTTCTCCTTTGTCTCTTCTCCTTTGTCTCTCCATCCTCTCGTCTCTCCGTGCTCTCGTCTCTTCTCCTTCGTCTCTTCTCCTTCGTCTCTCCGTGCTCTCGTCTTTTCTCCTTCGTCTTTTCTCCTTCGTCTCTTCTCCTTCGTCTCTCCGTGCTCTCGTCTCTCCGTGCTCTCGTCTCTCCGTGCTCTCGTCTCTTCTCCTTCGTCTCTTCTCCTTCGTCTCTTCTCCTTCGTCTCTCCGTCCTCTCGTCTCTTCTCCTTCGTCTCTCCGTCCTCTCGTCTCTTCTCCTTCGTCTCGTCTCTCCGTCCTCTCGTCTCTTCTCCTTCGTCTCTTCTCCTTCGTCTCGTCTCTCCGTCCTCTCGTCTCTTCTCCTTCGTCTCGTCTCTCCGTCCTCTCGTCTCTTCTCCTTCGTCTCGTCTCTCCGTCCTCTCGTCTCTTCTCCTTCGTCTCTTCTCCTTCGTCTCGTCTCTCCGTCCTCTCGTCTCTTCTCCTTCGTCTCGTCTCTCCGTCCTCTCGTCTCTTCTCCTTCGTCTCGTCTCCTTCGTCTCGTCTCTCCGTCCTCTCGTCTCTTCTCCTTCGTCTCGTCTCCTTCGTCTCGTCTCTCCGTCCTCTCGTCTCTTCTCCTTCGTCTCGTCTCCTTCGTCTCGTCTCTCCGTCCTCTCGTCTCTTCTCCTTCGTCTCTTCTCCTTCGTCTCGTCTCTTCTCCTTCGTCTCGTCTCTTCTCCTTCGTCTCGTCTCTTCTCCTTCGTCTCTTCTCCTTCGTCTCGTCTCTCCGTCCTCTCGTCTCTTCTCCTTCGTCTCGTCTCTCCGTCCTCTCGTCTCTTCTCCTTCGTCTCTTCTCCTTCGTCTCGTCTCTTCTCCTTCGTCTCTTCTCCTTCGTCTCGTCTCTCCGTCCTCTCGTCTCTTCTCCTTCGTCTCGTCTCTCCGTCCTCTCGTCTCTTCTCCTTCGTCTCGTCTCTTCTCCTTCGTCTCTTCTCCTTCGTCTCGTCTCTCCGTCCTCTCGTCTCTTCTCCTTCGTCTCTTCTCCTTCGTCTCGTCTCTCCGTCCTCTCGTCTCTTCTCCTTCGTCTCGTCTCTCCGTCCTCTCGTCTCGTCTCCTTCGTCTCGTCTCTCCGTCCTCTCGTCTCTTCTCCTTCGTCTCTCTTTCACCTCAGAGTTTGTTGGAAACTGAATTTGTCTGTTTCTCAAACCGAAGCTGGAAAATAAACTCGTCTCTTCTCCTTCGTCTCGTCTCTCCGTCCTCTCGTCTCTTCTCCTTCGTCTCGTCTCCTTCGTCTCGTCTCTCCGTCCTCTCGTCTCTTCTCCTTCGTCTCTTCTCCTTTGTCTCTCCGTGCTCTCGTCTCTTCTCCTTTGTCTCTCCGTCCTCTCGTCTCTCCGTCCTCTCGTCTCTTCTCCTTCGTCTCTTCTCCTTCGTCTCTCCGTGCTCTCGTCTCTTCTCCTTTGTCTCTCCGTGCTCTCGTCTCTCCGTCCTCTCGTCTCTTCTCCTTCGTCTCTTCTCCTTTGTCTCTCCGTGCTCTCGTCTCTTCTCCTTTGTCTCTCCGTCCTCTCGTCTCTCCGTCCTCTCGTCTCTTCTCCTTTGTCTCTCCGTCCTCTCGTCTCTCCGTCCTCTCGTCTCTCCGTCCTCTCGTCTCTTCTCCTTCGTCTCTTCTCCTTCGTCTCTCCGTGCTCTCGTCTCTCCGTGCTCTCGTCTCTCCGTGCTCTCGTCTCTCCGTCCTCTCGTCTCTTCTCCTTCGTCTCTTCTCCTTTGTCTCTCCGTGCTCTCGTCTCTTCTCCTTCGTCTCGTCTCTTCTCCTTCGTCTCGTCTCTTCTCCTTCGTCTCTTCTCCTTCGTCTCGTCTCTCCGTCCTCTCGTCTCTTCTCCTTCGTCTCGTCTCTCCGTCCTCTCGTCTCTTCTCCTTCGTCTCTTCTCCTTCGTCTCTTCTCCTTCGTCTCGTCTCTTCTCCTTCGTCTCTTCTCCTTCGTCTCGTCTCTCCGTCCTCTCGTCTCTTCTCCTTCGTCTCGTCTCTCCGTCCTCTCGTCTCTTCTCCTTCGTCTCTTCTCCTTCGTCTCGTCTCTTCTCCTTCGTCTCTTCTCCTTCGTCTCGTCTCTCCGTCCTCTCGTCTCTTCTCCTTCGTCTCTTCTCCTTCGTCTCGTCTCTCCGTCCTCTCGTCTCTTCTCCTTCGTCTCGTCTCTCCGTCCTCTCGTCTCGTCTCCTTCGTCTCGTCTCTCCGTCCTCTCGTCTCGTCTCCTTCGTCTCGTCTCTCCGTCCTCTCGTCTCTTCTCCTTCGTCTCTCTTTCACCTCAGAGTTTGTTGGAAACTGAATTTGTCTGTTTCTCAAACCGAAGCTGGAAAATAAACTCGTCTCTTCTCCTTCGTCTCGTCTCTCCGTCCTCTCGTCTCTTCTCCTTCGTCTCGTCTCTCCGTCCTCTCGTCTCTTCTCCTTCGTCTCGTCTCCTTCGTCTCGTCTCTCCGTCCTCTCGTCTCTTCTCCTTCGTCTCTTCTCCTTTGTCTCTCCGTGCTCTCGTCTCTTCTCCTTTGTCTCTCCGTCCTCTCGTCTCTCCGTCCTCTCGTCTCTTCTCCTTCGTCTCTTCTCCTTCGTCTCTCCGTGCTCTCGTCTCTTCTCCTTTGTCTCTCCGTGCTCTCGTCTCTCCGTCCTCTCGTCTCTTCTCCTTCGTCTCTTCTCCTTTGTCTCTCCGTGCTCTCGTCTCTTCTCCTTTGTCTCTCCGTCCTCTCGTCTCTTCTCCTTTGTCTCTCCGTCCTCTCGTCTCTCCGTCCTCTCGTCTCTCCGTCCTCTCGTCTCTTCTCCTTTGTCTCTCCGTCCTCTCGTCTCTCCGTCCTCTCGTCTCTTCTCCTTCGTCTCTTCTCCTTCGTCTCTCCGTGCTCTCGTCTCTCCGTGCTCTCGTCTCTCCGTGCTCTCGTCTCTCCGTCCTCTCGTCTCT